CATTTCCTATTTTCTTTCAAGAACAACTGACACGACTGATAAATCCGTCGCTGGGGAGAGCGCCCATCAAAAGCCAACCATTCCATCATTATTGGCCGTGCGAACATTACGAAAAGTGATACGTAAATGAGCGTGCGTAATATGGATCACGTTGTGATCGAAGAACGAACCGACTGACGTAGTCGACATGGCGAGAACGTGCGACCTCATTGAGTGATCGTCCTACTGGCCGAGACGCGGGTGGTAGTGGGAGAGGAGAGAGCTTGCCACATGAGGAGACGAGCAACCAAAAACCGGTTACAGCGTACCGAATGGCTACACGGACGGACGGCTATACGTTGATCATTTGGTGTGATATGTTTTTTGCTGACGCGTGGGGAAATCAGCATCGTAAAAACCGAGTGTAAGGGTTCGGGTGGCTCAATTTTGCCAACGAACGTCCCTTGCTTCTTCCGTATTTCATTCGGATTATGGTTGAGTATGGGTCGTAGGAATCGGATTCAGACAACGCTTTAGGCACAATAAACTAAAAACGGCAAATTTTATAGCCTCCATAAATCGTCCGCGTGGTAACGATCATCGGGTCGACCAGTTATGGGAAAGAAGTCCGCTTCCAAGCTGTTTTAGCCCTAGAAATGCACTTAACGACGACATGAAACGTTCTTCCGACTCAGTGTTCAATACTCGCGGTTTTGTAATTGTAATAAGGAATTTCCCATTCGGAAGCCAATTAATTTTTTCTATAGTCGAGCATTTGGCCACTCCCTAAGCCAGCGAATACCTGAGAATGGAAAAAATATCACAATAACGTTTTTTTTTAGCCCTCTTTTTTCATTCACAAATACGTCATTCGCGGCGATAGCATCGAGTTGTGGGCAGAGCGTTCCAAAAATGGAACCGGTAAATGGTGACTCGCCGGTAAAGGGAAAAAAGTGACAAATTTGGCGTTGACGTATGAGTTCTGTAATATTTTTGAACAGCACGGAACATTCTCGATGATGCCACTGCATGGGTGGCTGTATACCGTATTAGGGACCATGTTTAGGTCATGGCTTTTTTCTTTGATGAACAGAAAATTCATGTCGAAAAAGGGAAAATGTCATGCTCAATTGTTAATATAATGTTAATATAATATAATGTCAATGTAAAATATTATAAAATAAATACATATTAATAATTTAATCGGTGGTGTAGTGGCGAAAGGCGCACAGTCACACATCCATGATCCAGAAATCGGATCCTTGCTTGATACTCGTTCAAAGTAACTAGGTCTTCCATCCTGTGAGGATCGTTAATTGATACTGGACAAGTCTGGAAGGCCAAAAGCACTGACCTTTGCATCGGCCCGCTATCGCAAGTCATTGCCTAGGTGACGCACGCATATGAAACGCCACAATGGTTCATGGAAAACGAATGTGAGGCGCATCCCAAACACGGTTCGATCACAGGCGGAAGGCCGGTATGAGTCTTTTTTCAGAATACATTGTTAAGATGTTGTAGTCAGTTTTGGAAATGGGTGAACAGATTACATATCAGCCTCCATTCTTCTGTCCGAGTTGTTTCGGAGCGCTACATGATTCAAAAGCCTTGTGCTAGACTTGGAGTATTTCTCTATTCATCATCTACGAATATGATGAGTCATTGGCTTTTTTGCAACGTGACACAGCGCAAACGAGCGTGCAAACGGTTTCACCAGTCACATTCGTTGAATTGGTAAGTCATCTGCTGTCAGGCATTTCCGGATGATATCATTGGAACCGTTATCACGGTAGAATCGAAGGTTTCTTCGCTGAATTTCATTTCTCAAAAGGAACCCTTCATTCAAAACAAACAGTGTTCTCAATTGAAAGTATGCATCAGACGGAATCCGAACCCACGATGACATGGGGTAGGTGTTCAGAAGCAATGGGACGCTAGTTAAAAACGAAGTCACAGGTGGGATCATGTTCTTGGTTGGATCCTACCCATGCCCATTCAGGGCTTTTCCTCGGTTATGTTCCGATCGACTTGTTTCGGCACTACCACACGCTTGAACCGATGATCGAATCCTGGCCCAATACCCGCTCACGCTAACGAAGCCTTCTAATCCTTCGGAGTGGTCGGGTTATTGGTACCATGGTCTCATCTCGGAAGATAGAAATAGCGAAGATATAGAACGGAAGATTCACTGACTTACACTTTGGCTGCTACCTGGCTACTACAAGTCAATATATGGAACTTTAGGTTATTCACCATCACGGCCCTACAATTTCCAAAGGCAAATGCACGGCGCATACCAGGACGTGGCACGAAAGTTTTTATTACTCGAACCGATAGGATTTGGGAGTTTTCTATTTTCATATGGGTTGAGTTCCAATGCGCAGAAAAAAAGAAGAAAGGAGCTTATATAATCCTTTTGTCTTGGGATAACGAGTTACCAAGTTTTATCTTCAAAACACAAAAATGGAAATATTTTATACTTGAGCAATGTAAGGATTAATCCATCGAAATTATGTATATGACAACACGAATGGCAATACAAAAAGGAATGTTAGCACGAAACGATTGAAAAGGTAAAGGGAGAAGTTGTCACTGTTGCCAGCGCTGCCAGAGATTTTCCCGAGTCAGTGTTGTGATTGCTCTACCCTGAAAAGCCTAAGAACTTCACATTGGTAGTTCTGATGTCTGAGGATGAACTAGCGGGCAAGGGCTTACCGATAGGTTTATAGTGCTAAGGACAAGCAAAACGATGGCGAAGGTGATCAGGAAGTTTTCATGACTAAAATAACCGTTTGAGCCTCAGTACAAGCTCTGTCTCAACGACTCACCGGGCTACTGTTTTCCTACTCATCTTCCTCGTTCTCGTCTCTTCTGGAGGGCAAAAATCACATAGACGATGGCGGAAGACTGTTTGAAGTAGTCCACCACACTTTAACGGTTTTTCATTGATAGGAACTGCTCGCATCGTTAAAAAAAGGTAAATGATCCCTACTAGCGATTCCTGCTGATCTTGACGATACCTGTTGATAACGTCGATATCATACGAGATCAAGAAATTGCTTGAAAAAAGATTCGAAGCCTTGATATGTATCGACTGATCAGGGATCCTCTACTGCCAGTGGGAGCCAAGGAGATTCGTCTGCTGTTTCACGCTAAGATTCACTCCCAAAGTTGTCGAAGTCGAATTTTTGGGTCTTTCAATCGATACGTATCTGTATCCTTTGACCAGTTCTCAAGTTTCTCTGTGCAGCCTAAGTTACGAGATTCAGGGATTGGGTGCAGCTTGGAAAGGCTCTGTGTGTTGCCCAAAAGGAAGCCCTATATCTACTCTGTGGAAACTCCGTTTCAGTGATACGCCAACAAAATTAGACAAATTTATTCACAAACAACACCTACTATCCTTACACCTCAGATATATTATACCAACGCATATTTACAACTCAAAACACCCAAGTGTTCTTAATGAGAATCTATGCACATATACTGAAAGAATGATGAGCTCCTTGGAGTTCACAATTATGAATTTTGTATTGATGTATAGATGAAACCGACAGATAACAATCAATTATTCTGGGTATTCGCTCGGAGCTTTCAATCTGAGCAAATGAGAGAATGATGTTCGAAAATGAGTGTAAGAAAAGCACGAAATGGAAGAGGTTATTGGTCGACGAAAGCGTTTCACCAATCATACTTCATTCACCTGTCTTTTATTAATCTGAAGCCAACAACGGTTCGTACAACAAAGTTCAAAAGCAGTTAACCGTATCTGGGCGGGATCTACTTACAAGACTCAGACTCAGATGATGGTCCTAGCTCACAGCTTCTTCGAAAAGGCGGTTCAGCCGAGAAGAACTTCACAGTGATTCCAGGTCTTTTTGGATTTTCTTGACGAACGCCAGATATTCCTGCAGAAATGAAGAACCTTCTTGACAATTATTCAATATGAAAAATATAAAAAAGTAGGAAAAACCAAGTTTTCAAAACTCTGCGTACCCTACAAGTCATAGGGGGATGCTACGGCTGGAAAAAAATTTATTTCATTTTCAAAAAAAAAATTTTCAGAGTGAGGCGCAAGTGAAAGTAAGCAGAACGGCAGTCATGATCACATGTAGTACTTTTTTTCCAAAGGTATGACAACGCTTAGGTAATACTTAGCCCTATAAGCAAGTTATGGGTAACACAGTACTGCGAAATACTTCACAAAATGCTACCGCTGTATCCTTTCCTTTGTAAAATTCATAATTTTAAGGATCTTTAATGCTTTTCAGACCAATCAATTACAGTATCTCCACAATTTTAACAGTAAAAAAAGTAAAAAAAAAAACTGGTCTTAGACCTTACTGGCTCCCGAATGACGAGATTTACTTCCACGCCCCTTATCCCATCATCATATCTTTGAATTTATGGAACAGTCTTGCGAGGAATATCCTCGAATAACCCAATCATAGACTCACATAGGCAGTTTGCCCAATATACAAGCCGATTAGGCTCAAACATTTCGCTCCATCGGTACGTACAAACCGTCAGATGACCCCCCGCAAAACCGGTCTTTGCTTATGCGATTACCATGTAATTGCTATGACCGTCATATAACCTTACGGGATACGTCTCATTAAATCAGTTCCACTCATATCCCATATAGTCATCAATGACGGGTAAGGATCAGCTTTATTAGAACAGGGGACTCTGTTACTTGGACCAAAACTCTGAGATTTTCCACTTATCTGAGCGTCACGTCTACAATTTAGTAGCTATCGCGATGCACGACGGCGCCTTACAGCATTTCATTGACCCCTAACACCCGCAATCCGCAATCTTCAATGCAGGGAAGTGGTAGGGACTTTTCTCCGCGGCCTATTCCCGCCTTCCTCAGTCAAATGAAAAACAAAAGACCTTTCTGTGTTCGCCAGTTATGAGCTCCAGTATGCGATCTGCTTTCAGAGCGCTGCAGCCTTTCTCACTGACAGGAACCAGGGAGCACCCCATTTCCGGAACCGCAACCTGAAAAGTTCTTAGAATAATCAAAACCGCATTCTTGCAAGGTATAAAAAACGCTCAGATGAACGCCCAATTCTGGAGAACATTACGAAAAAACCTACCAAATGGATCGCATCACCTATGTGACTACGTAATTTCCGATTTGGATGATTGGGGTGCCATGTGAACATGACTCTTCCCATAAGACCTTCCATCGGTTGGCAGAACCATGAATTACGACCACTGATCTTAAACAACAATTCTGATTCACAACGCAGATCTCCACTTGATCCGATCCACAAATATACGCAAACGATTTCATTCACCCTCATTTCTTGCGTTAGCTCTAGGCAAGCTCCAGCGTAGGGCCGCCATTTGTCTTTAGGTTCGTCCTGCCATCCTTGGCCATTGTAGGACATGAATTAGCAGTGAAATACAGCTACAGTCCTCTGCTACTGACTGTTCGGGCTGTCGTCTAATGTTTCAAGGTAAGCGAGGGTTAACAGGTGCGTGCTTTTTATAGGTACGTACTTGGGTCCGAGTTTTACGCCCGAGGTTCGTGTTTAGATCAAAGAGGCATGTACATGCCCGCCCCGAATAGCCACGGCTAGTTGCGTTGCTCAGGCTTACCCTTCTTACCCTTCTATTGCCAATTACAATGCAGCCCTTAAGTCATGCAGTGTGGTCGCATAGTGACAAGAACAGTTTCGCTTACAAGCTGTGTGTGGTGTTCTGTCCAATAATGTCCATTTGGATGCTATAGTCATGTGTTATTCGCTTTAGAGTGCTGCCCTACCGATAGCTTCCCTCTACCTCGTCATTCTACCTCGTCATTTTACCTCGTCATAGTGCCCTCCTTCTAATCAGGATGTCGCTCAGTCTGTCTCAATATGTATACGTGTGCTTTTGCTTATGTTTTCACCTTGCTTTTGCCCTTATGTTGCTTTCCAATTCTGTTTGGCCAGTGTTTTTTTTTAGCTACTTTATGTTACAAATCGTTAGTATTTGTTAGGTTGTTCGACTTTCCTGTCTTGTTTGGTTACACTCCAGTTTTGTGTTAAGTGTGTAATGGGGTGCACCCTGAGTGCATTTAAATAAATAAACAAACAAAACAATGATGCAGGAATATTTGAAAAAATGTAATACCTGCCGGATCTCTTCACTTGGCCAAACAACCAGCGGCTCGCCCGTGGACTTCAAGGGCTCGTTCAGGTAACGAAAGACCTGAAAACCAATCTTCTGAGGAAAGTCAGAGTAAGCTAAAGTAACAAGACCTATCAATAGCTATTACCGTACCTGTTCTGGGTCATCGATACGAACCCATAGACCGGTATCTTTCACCTCTTCATATCCTTCCTCTTCCTCCACACTTTCCTTTTCATCGCCTTTTCTATCCGACGTGATCCTTTTGGCTAAACCTTGAGGAACCGAGTCAGTTGAGGAGAACTTGCTCATCCCCGGGGGCGTATCACCACTTCCAGCTACTCGTCGGGCTAAAGTCACACGGGCGCTTCCGTCAGGAGTCATGTGAACTATTGAGTTTTCTACCTGAACAGAACAGACGCCGATTTTTCAAAGGAATAGATCAAAGGTGAACCTACATGAGCTGAGGCCGTGCTCGTCCGGTCATCCGTTTCGCATGCGGCTGTCGCCTTTTGAGGTGGTTGCATCGCTGACAGTTGTTGAAGTGCTATCGGTGGGACAGTAGGTCCACAACTGCTTTGCAGACCAAGAGACGAGCTGCCTGATGGACCGAAATGGGCTCGCAATGCATTCCACGCCTTTCTAATTGCAGATCCAATGAACTGAAACCAATTTTAGGCCATTTACCTTCCTTACAAAGCCTAATTGAAGATGGAAGCGAGTAAATGTTACGACAAGTCAAAAAGTACCTCAAGAGTAACTGGAGGCCCAACAATACTTGGCATTTGAGAATGGGTCTCCGCAAAAGAGGTCGTCAACGGGGACACATAAATTGGATAGCCAACTGGTTGATCAGCTGAGCTGTTGATCATATTCCTTAAATGGTAATATAAAATCAAGTCGGACTGTAACTAGGATGAAGCATAACCACTAAAATTCCCACCTGAGCACTTGTCTAGCATTCTGGATGCTTCCTCTTTCGGGATTACGGTTCCTCAAGAAGATCAATTCTTGTTGCTGACCAGCCCAAAACGCCCTCACACACTCCCGATTCAATTTGATTACCCTCAAATAAGAAGACTAGAGGTATAAATAAAAACAAAGTAGAAAATAATACAAAACGAGATGTACAGAAGTGAATAAACCCTATTCCAAACAAACCTCATGTTCAGGTGCATTCTGTTGAGCATGATGATCTTATAATCATCCTGACCTTCATCATACATATGACGAAGTGCTAGCAGAGATGGTGTATTCGCAATGATAGCCCGACGCCAAGCTGGATCATGCTAAATAGAAGTCAATTTAGAATTGTTTTCAAAAAACGGATCAATTAGGCAATTACAACAAACAAAGTCACAAAACGAACCTCATGCGATATGAACAGTTTGGTTTGATGATCGGCGATAAGATCGTACAGCGATTCAGGATCATCGAAATCGTCTGGTGCAGCAAAATGGTCCTAAATCATTGTTTCAGTCGAATTCAGAAGCACTGAGAGTGTGGAACTGAGAAAGAGGAAACCCCACCCATTTCCGAGAATGAAAACGGAGGAGAGAAGAAGAAAAAAATAAGTTATGTTGGTGTCACTTCACTTCATGGTAGACTAGAACTTTTCCAACAGGAAGCTTTGGTTGAGGCAAGGCTTTCGAACCACTTACCCACCCCTTCTTAGATGTTCTCCGCCAAGGTGGCAAGAGCCGCAGGCATGAGAGAGTACAATTGCAAAAAATTTCACCTGGTGTAATTTGAGAGCCATTTTCACAGCCGGCGAAATCACACATCTTAGCAAATCCATGTCTGCGAACACCCATTCATCACGTTGACATGTTATTCTGAAAGCAATTCTTTCCAAATAATCGAGTAGCATGTTGCCAAGGGAAATCCCTGACCTGTCACTACCATTTCTCTTCAAAAAACAAGTTAATAGAAACAATAATCTATAAAAATCAGTTAGGAAAACCTGAAGTCTCCTTTGAACAACGCATGCAAACCACAAAGGAATGATTCGGCAGCGTTTGAATGGCGATTGTAAGATGCAGCACCAAGAGCACGACGACCAAGAAGCGACAGTACATAACAGAGACAAGTGACGTGTTCCGCGTTCCTTGAGCCGCTCAGATTATCATTACGAAAAAGGATTTCCAGCAGAAAACCTCAGTAACTTACAATTCCTCGTCAGCATTGCGTTCTGATCTCTTGTTTAGGCAATGAGTAATCCACATACTATACCATTCCGAGAAACTGGATCGCGAAATCCCCTGAAACAGGTCGAACGTAATTTGGTCTGCGATGACTACTGAAAGCTACCGGTAGATGCTCACCATTTCGTTCATATCGAAATCTTCATCATTCGTGGAGCAGAAAAGATGATCTACATCTGCATAACGAGGATTGGCCACGATAGGTTCTAGGGTATTACGCTAAAACAAAGCAACAATAGCAAACATGAATAATTGCTGAGCCATCCCAAATAAATTAAGCGCCATGTAAAGATGTCTTAACGGCACACCTAGCCTATAACTAATATGCAAACACTTACCACCGTCTCATTCGCCAACCAAATCTGTAACTTATTCGATGCCAGAGCATAGTAGACTATGCATTTCACATAGAGAGTGACCAGAAGACGTCTCAATTCATGAACTTGCAACAAATTAACCGCCGAGTTGTCAGTAATCGAATAGCCATCAATTATGTACTTCCCGGTAACAACCTAAATTATGTGAAGCAGTACAAACCACTGAAATGCCTAATATTGTTGAATACAGCACACGAGAAGAGATATAGCTACAAACAGGACTTTACCTCCCACGCAAGCCAACGCAGGCTCCAAGCCGTATTCAGTGACAGGAAACCTGGAAGGGATCCTGGGGCACAGCAGCAACATCCTGTTCCTTGAGTCTGATCGTCAGATATTGCTTCCACCTGAAGAATTGGCAGAAGCTCTAGCGAAACTAATCAAAATTAGTCAATTGATAATTGTTAGATACACAACAGAAAAAGTACCACACCTCTCTTTGATGACAATATGTACCACGAAACTCGAGGCCACGCAGTTGGAACGTGACAAAACCGTTGCCAACTTCGATGATGTGAACAAGACAATTAAGATAGAAACTGCAAAGATTCCAATTCATGGTAGAAATGTCAAATAAATGAATGACCTTAAAGAAACGCCGGGAGAAAGACCCAACGAACCTGGCAAGAATGAAACAGTCACCCGGTTGGACACTTGTTGCCCATCGACCCATCAGTAAATCACCGGCTAAACTTTTTTGAAGACTTCTGAAAAAAATTAAACTTCTATAGTTTTCAATACCTTTATTAGTAATTGTACCTGGTCAAATGTTCATAAAACACGGCATTCAGATTGCTGTCATCCATCATTGGTCCGCGATCAATTTGTGAAGCTATAAAAAAAAGAATTGAAACTCAAACAAGAAAAATTAAATCAGCACAAAATAGTAAAAGCAGCACTGAGAGATGAAGAAAAGACACTTCGTTTAGTGTGAAACAAAATGGTGAGGAAAATACCATACCGAGAGTAGTATTCGATGCATCGCTTCGCTTCGTGTTATAATCTCGTTCCCAGAACTTCACAGGTCGAACATAAGATGTTGTAAAGAATGAGGAACCTTTAACACCCAACTTGATCCCACTGAAGCAAAAAACATCGAAGGTGAACTCACCCAAAAACGGATTAAGCGGGGCACTTATAAGGCTGGAGACGACTGTCTGGGTCCATATCAGTGCAGAGTGGGGTATAGAAAACGGCTGGAATAAGCAATGACCGATGAAATGAAAGGAACTATGCCCCATGGTTTCATAGGATCACATACAAACCTGAGCAAAGGCATGGAATGCCGATCCCCAACTAATCTGCCAAGGCGCGACATATGCCATTACAAAACTCATTTTGAGGTACAACTCCAACCACTTTGGATAGAATACAATGAGAATGTAAAGAATAAGAGGAAACAGCGTTGCTGGAGATATCTAAAACTAATTTTTTCATAGCGCAATTCCTCAGGCTTCAATATTCTTGAATTTACATGACCTTCCAAAAGCAAACCTGCTCAGGTATTCCGAATGGTGACCCTGTCTTCCAATCGAATCTCGTAACAGTAAAGGCCAGCGCTAATGGTACATAAATCAGCTGTGGATGCGAGAAACCACCACGTAGTAATCGTAGAATAATCAGAGGAGCTATTATTCTAGCTACCGGCAGTAACCAACCGCATTCCGTCAACACCGCCATTGCTACTAATGGATATAACTAAACCAAAAATATAAATAAAAAAAGAGTCTGATTCAATCATTGATTGCGTTTAATTTTCCTAGACAGTGCACTTAAATACTACATCTTGAAAAAAAAGACGAAATTTCCCTTCTCAAAGGCGACTTAGCGATCATGTTCTACCGTAGACGTAACTTCTCATATTGAAAAATAAAACTTTTCATTTTCGACTATTCGGGGACAAAATCTTCTGAGGAAAAACCTACAACATTCTTCTCTATCGCAAGCATCCACACATGAATAATCTCGAAATTCATCAGTTTAGCCTCATCAGGACTCTCGAATTGTGTGTATTCATGAGAATGAAGAATAGGTTTGGCAATCTGCAACAAATACACTTCGTAAGAAGTCACTACAATACAAAGTGCTTTTCTCACAGAAATAAGGAAACCTCTCAAATCAAATGTCTAAACCAACCAGCTTCCATGGCGTATGCGTTCTAAGTTGCTCATAGAGATAGTGATTTATAATTCCAAAAGCTATACAGATTGGTATAACGATAACCTGAAAACGACCGCTCGGTATTAGAAAACAACAGTACGACATTGATTTCAACAGAATTAGAAATCGTTTGAGATCCCAACTCACTGTAAAATATGGTTGGGTAGCCGTGAATAAAGACGTCGAATGTAAGGCAAACACAAGAAGGGACAAAAATGCTGAAAAGAGGACGTCGTGGCGTGCCCGCAGAACAACCGTTTCACGAAGTCGCCCCGGCAGCGGGTCGGAAACATCGAGTTCATCTGAAATGACAAATCATGTTTGAAGATTCCCATGGCAGCAACTCTTTCCCATACCTGTATCTTTGATCCTCTCATCTTCACCTTGATCCGATGACGATGCACAACAAAGGCGACTACTACTACCAGTACCATTCAGAACCTGTTCGGAAGATACTGTAGCACGGCACAGAATAACAAATAGCTGCGGATTAGACGAGAACCTGCGTATTCACAGAAGTTCAGAACTAACATAACTAATTTCTTCAATCAGGCAAAAGAGCTCGAAATAAAAAGAGGCCTACCGGCTGAGCAAATAGGAGGTTGCAACAGCAGCCGCGAGAAAGGCAGAAAAGGCAGGCGTTTGTGTTGTACTTGGATCAACCGTATAGGCCAAATGGCATCTGGACAGAGCAAGTTTGATATAAAACAATCTCAATACGCAAAGTAACACAGCAAAACTCACAGTCCTGCCAGCAGACCCCAACCGAACATGCTTTTCATGATTTGAATAAGTGCTGACAACACACCCAACGATGCTGTACCACCGAAAATGTGCATTTCCAACTGTTCCAGAATATGATGAGCCAATGTATTCACCTAAAAAACAGCATGGGTAAAACATGCACGCTCAGCTTCAAAACAACCTTGAAAGAAACCTGTGGTAACCATCCCATTGTAAAGGCAAACGGAAGCATTACGAGAAACGTAGCGAAGAGGTCCCGAAATGCCAGAAGTATCATTTCACCAGACGTTTCGTACAGTCTAAATGATTTCAGGCTTAAGATCAAATCTTTTAGAAACTCTTATAAAGTTAAATTTTTCAAAAACGGTTGAGCGACGAACTCATTTTGACCTCAAATGTGTTCGAAGCCGAGATACTTTCTCCGAATAAGTATCGAGATAAGCAGCTCACCTATAAGGATTCCAATTCCATGGTATTTTTTTATAGTCCGGATCATCAGCAAAATGATGCAGGGTGAGCACTATTACGGCTCCTATACAAAAGTATACTGGACGACTATAAGATACCAGCCAATTGAAACCATGAATCGGTGACGATGCATCGGGTTGGACACTTTTCAGGAGCGAAAACTGAAAAGAACATCATGATTGCCTCCACGACTCCAGAGCGCTAATTTCTACTCCTGATTTTTTCGATCGATAACACAAAAAACACAAAAACTTACATGAGCACCAGCAACAGTGAAAGCAAGCAAAAACAGCCAAATATCGAAGTAAATCCCAGTTGCAAGAACAAGACCTGCCAGAAACGATACCAAACATGCGAGCAGTACATCGAAGACACAAGAAAGGGCAGAGCGATTTCGATCAAATAGTGCCGATACAGAAAGGCGATCGAGCTGTAATCGATGTTGGTAGCCAAGCTGATTTTATTCAAAACATAAATCACCCGGTAAACATGACCGAGATTTCTTGTTCAACGCTTATATTCGACGAAAATCAAAAAAAAGTATGACTACGATAAAATTGGAAATAAGACAAACCTTCAGCTTGAAGCTCTTGTTAGTCTTGGGGAAAACTTTCATTTTATAGTAATAGCTCTTCTTCACTGAAGATGTTCTACGGGCCGGTGCTGCAGCATAATCAAGTGGGACTAAAAATAAGGAAAGCTAATGAACAAAGGGAACAACATATTAATCAAAATAGAGAGCAAACCAACTTGGATTTGTTCCACCAGTAGGTAATACCGCCAATCCTAGTTCAGAGAGAAAACGGAATCGTGACGACATCCCACCTCCAGCAGACGAGCCCGAGTCTAGACGTGCAAGGAAGTTTTCCTGAATCTAAATGATAATGATTGTCTTATTTTATCAATGCATTTTATCAGTATAGGACGACAACATTTCCCTGAATTCTTTCACCTGAAATGGTGGTCCGCTATCCTCTCTGGCTCTTAGATCTCTACGATCAAGTATGTTCCGAGTAAGCTGAGAAGCAGATGAATCTGGCCCATCAGTGCCGATTGCAAGACCATCGCTTTGACGAACAGCTGCTCGGAGACGTGAAGCAACATTGGCAAATGATACCATTTGATGACGAGAGCTAAATTAAAATTACCTTCCTAAAAGGAATGTAATAGAAGAATAACGGTTTGACACTGGTGACATACCTCGCTCGACTTGCTCCAGTTCCTGTCGGAGCATGAAATACTGTAGTTGGCAGCTGAGGGATATACGTATAGCTTTCGTTACTTGATGAGGACAGAGCTCGTTCTCTCCTTAAAAACGTAGGCTCCATAACCATAACGTTCCAATGCCAAGACTCCTCCGCCAACCTAAGCTGTTCGACTAAATACTCACCTTGTGCTTCCCACACTCATACCAGGCATGTTTCCCACATTTCGCGATGAACAGGGCTCACCGTCCTCGTCACTACTTGCATAGGCTGATTCAGGTAAGACCTGACATAGGAATAATCTAGTGATATTCAGGAAGTCTTACAGACAAAAGAAAAATAAAGGACATTACGTAAAAAAAACTCCGAGTTTAGAAAGCTACAAAAGCTCTCAGACTAGATAAATACATCTAATAAGAAACACCACATACATCAAGTCGTCCTCTTCCTGCTTGCGCGTCCTGCGTGCTTTGTAGTAGTTCCATCAAGGCTCGTCCAGATCCCAAAGGTTGAGCCGTACCCACCCCTGAAACCGAGTCAGCTCGAAAATAGCTCATATCTATAACTCATATCCTCTGCCTTTCTCATCAAAAACAACCATCTATTTGCATACAACTTGCCGTGTTCATCAAAAGCATACGTCCACCACATCCCGTCGTTGTCCTGAAAAGAGTGAACAGCCCCTTGCGAGGTGTCTTCATGACCAGCAGCAACATGGGTTCCATCACGAAGTGCCATATCTGACAAACCAGCTACAGAAGACGAAGACGATCGGCGTCTCGACGGCACTCTGCTAAGGATACAGCTTAGAAGGACACTTCAAAATGGGTACAGCAAAAACAAACCCGTGAAGTCTGAACATCTGTGGAACTCTATGAGGAACGGAGCCTCGTCCAAGTCGGCTTTGACGCACGTTTTCAATGACGTCCAATGTTTCCGGATGTTTTTCTATCAGCTCCTCCAAGAATTTTGTAATCTCGACTTTTATATCTGCTCCACTTGCTGAAAATTTTGTACTCTGCTGCTATGACATGCTTTTTGACGTAGGCAAATCAGATGAACATTTTAATTTGATGTGTAAATAAGAACCACAGTAAGTCCATATGTCGACTGGGTATGTCGCGCAAGGGTAACATGCTTCCTTTCTTCCCCATTTTCAAAACCTTCCCCTCTTTTAGAAAAAGTAGAACGCAAAAGGGAGAGCCTCTCACTCGCTTTACTCTGATAATCTCGATGCCTCAAAATTGAATGGTGCTTCAAAAATAATTTAGCCCTACCTCTCTCATCAGGCGCTTTACTAATGGCTGCTGCCTTGGGCTGATTAGCTTCACCAAGAGATACCACTACGGGATACCATCCTGATGTAGACGGAACGGCATCGTCACTGATTTTCTGAAAAAAAAAACTGGTTTCGAACTGGAAAATACATTATTAAGAGTGAATATTTCAAATACACACGGTAATCTTAGGCTTCCTCCTCTTTGGTTCGATGGTGCTGTAGGGATTTTCAACTTCACGAAAAGCAGTGCTTGTCGATGGTTGATCAATTTCCTCATAGTGATTTTCTTCCTCTTCTTTCACCTTCAAAATATAATTTACCGGAAACGGCTAAGTTACTCCAGTTGAGTTTAAGCCATGTCAATAAATTCACTTACGTCAATGGTGCCATATTCAGCATCGGTGGCTAACTCCAGAGATTTCGCCGACATAGACGAAGACTTGTCTTTGATACCTTAACACCAACAGAATGGGAATGAAGAATGAGTATTCCAGTTTATAGAAATCCACACTCAGAAACTGTTAACTCACTAGACATTCCTACGTCACTCAACGGACCAATAACATCATCCTTTTTCGCTGCTCTGGCTTTAAGACCGTCGGTGTGGAATTCTTCCGCACTGCTCATCTTTGACGGGTATGATTTATGGGTACTCTAAATGGACCAGCATCAATGTCAGAAGATATTAACAAGCTGCAAAGCTATCGAAGAAATCTCTTACCTGTCTCGCCTGATCGAGACTAGCTTGGCTTAGCATGCTCTTATCAGTAGGCCTGCTGGATGCTTCAAGGGATGAGTTTGCACGTCGAACTGTTGAATACAGCTCTTCTAGGTTATGTTCTGAATAAATACTGATTTCTCTGAAGCGTTGAAAGCCTGTTTGGATGGAAACATCCCTCTGAATCTGACTTCCGATCTGAGAAGTTGTAAAGAATACAAGATAAACAGTTCATTGCTCAGAGTACCTTTATTCCGACCATCTGATGTCATTACAGGCTCGGACATTTTCCTTGCCATCGCTGATGAGAGCTCGCGTTTTGTAGATGAATCTGTGCTTTCAGCGTTACTTTCCTGCCTATAATGCGAGAAACCAGAAGTATAAGAAATGGGAGAGAAGCCTACGCAAAGAAATCTCCTGAACTTACATAGAAAGCTCTGTTTCGCTGTCATGATTAGGAGCTTCTTCAACGATAGCTATGTCTTGTACTTCGACCACTTTATCTTTTGTGTCTTCATCACTGTCTTCCTAAGAAGATCACCATGAAATCCGAGGGTACATTCCAGAAGTAATCAGAGCAATGTAATCAGATTTTGATCAAATTCAGCATTTCGTGCATCTGTTTACGCCATGGGCTCTATATTGAGGAGCAGCGGGTATTTCGGGTGCTTTCTGTCTCATGGAGACAGAGATAATTTGAAGGTAAAGGAAGTCAACAAAGAGCAAAACGTTCCTACTTCTGATATAAGAGAGATGAAATGCATAGGAGCAGAAATAAGATTGGTAAAAAAAGAAGTTATGACGGAGACGACCAATGGCGAACTTCTCTTTGATACGAACTGGAGAGACAGAGAGCTGGAGGAAATATTCGCTTTGAACTAGGCCCATGTAATCGTCTACATATATTAAAATCAGTGTATGTCACCTCTATTCCAATTCGTTTCTGAACCACTGCTACAGTCTTGCTGACCTTTGCTAATTCGTTGAGATCATTTTCAATACGAACTCTTCGCCGATCGCCCTGAAACAGAAGTCAAAGGGCATATATTCAATTCTGGACCACTTTCGAAAGTGGAGGTGAGACAGGGATATGGTAGGTAAACATAAGAAAAAGGTTACAGTTTACTGAAGAGAGAAAACGGAAAAGAGACAATAAGCTATTCGCAGTTGAACCAGAGCATTAGCCTTCTCAGAGCCTGCCCTAGTGGCCGGCTAAGGCCCTACAGATTGCAAAGAAAAAACCGCACCCTGGGATGATTGATGACAAGTTCGCTATCAGTGATCCTCCTGCGGATCTCTTGCATTTCAACCATTTCCAATCCATCTTCTTCATCTTGCTCTATGAATGAAAGAACATAGTATGCTCACGCTCATTTAAAAACTACTCAGATTTCTCACCTACTATATCACCATCGGTTCTAGAAGCATTATTAGTGTCCGAGAGAATTTTCGTGGTGATTATTGGCTCTGTTGTATCAAATACGACATGGACACGCGAAACAAGTGTCTGAACAGAAGAATTCGGCCATGTAAAACTTCAAAAAAGTGAAACTAAGCAACTGCAACTTACCTTTAGAATAGCAAAAAGTGCTCCGATAAAGCATATGTAGCCGATAAGAAGAGACAGAGAAAAAGCGCCCGAGGTCACAAGTCCAACAACAAAAGGGATAATTAATAGCACTAACCAAAGATATAAATGTACGGTATTACAAAATATTGAGTGAGAAGGCTCGTAATACCTGAAAATGAGGACAATTTGGGGTGAAGTTTCGCTATTTCAAATCCTTGAAAATCGTTCAGAAATCAAACGATTGCAAAAATTTATGCGGGCTACGTTGTTGAGAGAACGTTCAGTAAAGGGATATCCACCAATTATTTTTATTATTACTTCATTGATGAAGAAGTACTATTGCAGCTAGCCGATATGGTTCTGAACCGACAGAATGATTCTATGGTAAAGAAACAGTTACGAACCATCCTCCTGTGAGCGAGGCCCAAATTCCTTGGCGAAGTATTTCCGCTATATGTGTGGTGACGGTCATTACGCTACCTCCATAATCCGTTATACAGCACCATGGTGAAGTCCTTCAGATCCCTGGAACAACTATAAGTTGAATATTAATTCTGCGGAGCAGGAAATCGGTCGAGATATGCGCCTTATTTTGAAAATCAAGCTTTTAATTCAGGAAGAATGGGAAGTTGGAGTTCTGTTCCTTGGTTCTGTTGGAATTTTCATATCACAGTAGTTCTCCCGGTGCCGATGGCGCACCCCTGGGTGTATAATAAATAATAATAATAATAAAGTTCCTAGATGTGAGACTTTTCAAATGGACAACGGAGAACAAAGTTCACAAATAAGCTAATACTCGAGCTATATTTTCGGCGCTGTACGGGTTCATCGGAGCCAGTGGGGGAGGCATGATGTGTATGAAACTGAGCTCAATTTCTGACCAAACTAATCCAACTTTAAGGGGTGTGAAGCAACAATTATATGAACCATGGGTAATCTGCACACTTTGAAAGAGTAATAATTCAAGGAATGTTAACACAGCACCACTTACTCAACACGGAAACAATTGAGTATCATGTTCGAGCCGCGAAAAGAACACTCCCTCAAAATGGTGATACAAAAACTACAAATTCATTGAAACCCCAAAAGTTGCAGTAGAATGTAGCAGCTTTGGTGACGGGTAGAATCCTACAAATCGAGCAACATTTACAAATATTTATGCTCCTTCCGATTGGACTTCTAAAACTTCTTTCTTATTTTATTAAAACAATCGTTATTAGGTAAAGGGCAATGAACCCGGAAGACTGACAGACCATCAACATGAAAAGAAACTTTATTTGTTGGCTGAGTTGGGTCAAAAGCAGATTAAATGACTTATTCGATTCAACCAGAAAAGAAAACAGAGCCAAAGATAAATATTTCGGGTTAGAGCCAACATCAAACAGTATTAAGCCTCCGAAGACTGAATAGCTTTGGAAATTCAACCCCAGAAATGAAAAAGTAAGAAGCCATGTTTTAGAAGAATGAAATTGGCACGGTGAGCTCCCAACGGTTGGTAATTAGAGGTCGTAGAAGCGCGTAATGTTACGGTGGTTGTGTCCGCAATATTACGTTCTACGATGACGTCGTGTGAAATCATTTCGAGCCTTCTTGAGTGTTCCGTCGCCTCCTCATGTTGTCATCCTTTAGGGGATGCAAAATGCCGCCCACTAACCATCTGTCATGATTGCTGCGCTGTTCGGTCAACTTACTTATACATTTGTGACTTTTCCTTTACTCCTACTTGGGTGTATTTGTGAGAATGTGTAATGTCTGTGTTGCCCAGCCGATTAGGCTGTTATTCAGCCTCCCGACAACAATGCTGCAAACTCAGTTTACGACGGGAAGTAGGCAGAAATCGGTGAGAACTAGTACGGATTAGCCAATGTTTAAAATGCCCTCGAACTTTTTTTTCCAAAAACTGTTGCCTATAAAGAAAGTCTTAGTTTGTTCAAAACCACAATGAGACCTTCAATAATTTCGCAAGGGTTGACTCTCAAGTTTAAGCGTTCATTCAAGAGTAAGCTGGATCGTTTTTTCTTGGGCCAGTGAATTGACTGGAACTCTTTTTATAATTCATCTCTGATTTTTACAATTTCGTTATTCCATATATAAGTTGCGACACAGTAGATTCAGTTTTCTCAACTGGAACATTTACATGATCTACCTTTGTAGTTTTAAACTTCAATCTTCTTTAGCCACGAGATTGTTAGCTGAAATTTTTTCCTAAACATATTTCAAGGTAATTAAGTCCAGACTAGAACTCAAGCAGTATCTACTCCCTACCTTCACTGTCTTCATCCAAAAATGCTCTGAAAATGCTCGAATCATGAATAAAAAAAGGCAGTAGTAGATGCTCTACACAACGTCCTCCTGGCCAAAGTAGGCCTCCTTTACTAGAAAATCGTATACTTCTAGCTTCTACTGTTGCTCACAAAGAGTAGTCATGTCTCATTCACGGTCCCCTCTGATAAACAGTGACACCTCACTCAAAGAAAAAACCTTCATCATAGAAATGTTCCTCTAACTTCGGCTCATTTTTCAACCTGGAATTGATCGAACCGTACATTTCCATGTAATCCTCACTGGATGGCCTTTGTTTCAGACAGGGTCCCGATTGCTAAGTGATGAAGAATCTGCTTGCACTTGTCCGGTTGATCTTACTACACTCGGTTCTTACCTGCTCTCTTGGAAGCTGCACTCTGAACAGTTTTTCGAGGGCACATATAAAAACCAATGAATGTATCAGATCAACCCTTCTCGAGATCGTTCAGCTGTTTCTGATAGGTTCTTTGGGCGTTTGCCTTCTTTATAAGTAGATTAAAAGAGTTTTCGAAGCCCTTGACATCATTGGAACTTGACCTTCGTATCTTCAAAGGTCCTGGTATTATGGCGACCATTCTCACCGATTTATCCTTGGCGATAAGGACTTTGATGGAGAGTTTTGTTCAGCTTTGGTCCATCATGTCTGAAAGTTTCGGTCAAAAGGTGATCTTTGCTTTTTACTGTCACTGAAATAGCGGCAATTCCAATGAGTGCAGGCGAACTATTCCAATTCCAACTGCACAGCAAGTCTTTCTCATAACTAATTGTCATTCATTTATGGGGTCGAGGTAAGGTTGGGAGCCAAATAAGTTCATTACTATTGAACTGTTTTACTATCTCAAATCAGTTACTGATAAGGCTCTTATTATTCGCTAAGTACAGAACTTCTTGAATTGTGGAGTAGTCTTCAAGCCTTGAAACAGGATCGAGTGGAAAGGGTGGGAGGAATGTGGGTTTGAATAATGATTTCCCCAATTACGCTTCGATTAGAATTTTACTTTGGTGGTAAACGGCATCAACTCTCCCGTATTCCTCTATGAGCCTCTTTCCTGACTGTTTTCTCGCACAATTTCTCAGAGGATTGCTTCGGCGCAACTTCACGTGATTCTCTCAGAAACTTTCCGTTTTCTTCTTATCTTCCTTCCCGGGTGCGTCGAATTATTTCATCTAAAATAACTCTCGAAAGTCTCCGATGTTTGACCATTGTCTGTATTTCCACGGTAGACAAAATTGTGCTCGCCAAATAGGCAGTTATACGACACATTGTAACTAATCGGTCAGCAAGTCGATTTCCTAATGAGATCAGGTTCTTGCATTGATTTACTCGCAAGTGAGTAATTCAGCTATCCTCGCTAGTATAGTATTTTCGTGCTTTTGTGTAATGTCCGCATATTGGCTGTCGAATCGGTCTGAATATTCATCTTCTGTGGTGTCCCCACTGTTAGTGGCTGCTATTTTAGGATGGCTGACGAGGCTGCTCCAGCAACTACAACGACCGTAGCGTCAAGTGATGAAAAAAATCTCGTAGTCTCTTTTATACAGTTCATTCGACATAAAGTATCAGCCAATCAATGCACAGATGATCAGGTTGAGGCTCTAGAAGGTTGGTAATTTTTTGGCATCAGAATTTTGGAATGGTTTCAACCTTTCTGAGATCTATTACAGCCTGTACTGTTTTACATCATTTTAGTGGCTGTACAGTGTATGGAGTCAGCATTTGGGCTAACCGATGCCAATTATGCTTTTCAGCCGTCAAAACCTCTTCTCGATGTTTTTATAGCTGCTGAAGGACTTCCTTCGGTTTGTGCATTGTTCTGGTTTTTCAACATCTGTCTTTCTATGGTCCTGCCTTACGAGATTCCGTTCCTATCAAATGTGATGGAACCATTAGGCTTAAAAACATATTTATCTCTCTAGGGCGAGGACAAGTTACCAGAACCAACTGAGGCGGAGATAGCAGAAGCGAATAAGCTCAAGGAAGAGGTGAACTAGTTTTTCTTACTGGGATCAATCCCGTGTCTTTGATTTTATTCGAATTCTAGGGTAATGACCTGATGAAAGCGTCACAATTTGATGCCGCCGTTAGTAAATACAATGAGGCTATCAAGCTGAATCGGGATCCCGTCTATTTTTGCAATAGGTAAGTAAGTTTTAGCTATTGTACCTCTTTCAGCTCATTTCATTTTTCCACTTATTTTAGAGCTGCTGCATATTGTCGCCTTGAACAGTATGATCTCGCAATCCAAGATTGTAGAACTGCACTAGCCCTTGATCCGAAGTACAGTAAAGCTTACGGCAGAATGGGGTACCTTTCTCATTTCACTACTGCCTTTCATTTTTTATGAGTTGAATAACAATTTACAAATTTGCATTTGTTCCATTATCGAAAGCTTGCCTCGTCTTCGACGCCATTTTTAGCTTACACCACGCTTTCGTGCTTTACATTCATGATCGGGCGGAATTTTAAATTGAACTCTAAACTTTGAAGCCATTAGGACAAATGCTAATGGCAAGTGAGAAGTTAGAATTCATTTTAGTTTGGCGTTATCATGTCAAAACCGATATGAGCAAGCCGTCGAAGCCTACAAAAAGGCTCTTGAATTGGATCCCAACCAGGAAAGCTTCAAAAACAATTTGAAAATTGCTGAGGAGAAAGTTAAGGAGCTCGAGGCAGCAGCACAAGCAAGTGGCGCGCAACCGGTAAGCCACACATGTGAGATGCCCTTTGAAGGTTTTCTTAGCAAGCGGCCACCGGCATAATTATCTTCAGAATCCTTTCGCTGCTATGTTCGGTGGAGCCGGTGGAGCAGGAGGACCAGGTTTGCCTCCTGGTGTAGATTTTGCGTCATTATTCAACAATCCACAAATGTTGAGCATGGCACAGGTACTTTTTTTCAAGAGATCGTTTTCGTAAGATTATTCATGTCTCGAAAAGGCGAGGATTTTTCTCCACCCTTTTCCTGCTCATGGAAATGGTAAATCATGAAAAATATGGCAGTATTACTATCAAGAGTCACATTTACTATCAAGAGTACAATTATTACTGCGACTCTCCTCTCAAGGGAGTTAGGGCTTTGAACTCTTACATAGGCGGACGAACTTGAATTAATGAATTTGCCAAATGGGAAAGGAGTGGACTCGGCAGGTAACCGAAAGTTTATAGAATCATCTGGTGAAAATGTTTCTTTTCCAAAAATGACCCATTAGTCAGAGCACCTTATTGTCCATTCGAATCTTCTAGGAACTCAGTGAAGGCGGTTTGCGACACGTTCCCTCCTTTGGTCTCACTGAGAACTCTATTCGCTCTTTCATGGTCAAATCTGTCCCCTTGGGTACGCCGCGTCGAACGCTTTTTGATTATTTACAGCACTGCTTATAAATGGGTAGGATTTTCATTGTCGTCATCGGGCACCAGCCAGGCACCACCACTTCCCCTCTCCCATAAACTCACGGAAAAACGTCCCCTTTTTTCTTTTCGTATACTTGTCGTCTACTTGGCTGTGTTAACATATTAACATAGCAGGCTACTTCTTAGGCGTTCTGACAGAACATTTGCCTAGGTGAAGAGTCCTGCACAAAACATGACTCTTATTTATTCTGTGCGCATTATGCAGTTCGTCCTCTACGCTGTTCCGGAAGTTGAGCAATGGAAGCTCAGTCCTAGGAAATTGGTTACTGCTTTAGAAGAAGGTTCTGATATGGAGACTTTCGAGAATTTCTGGTCCCCATGCAACAAGTTCTTTGCCCAAAAGGATGCTTTAGCTTTTTGATTGTGTTGCACAAAGGCGTGTGGTAAAACAAGTCGAGTTTTTTCTTCTTCCGAGTATGATTTACCATCTTTTTTGGATATAAGCAGGCCAATTTTAGGTGATCAGTTATGAAATTTTGTTTATCGTTCTCTCTTTTCACAAAACTAGTACCTTTTTCCATTGAAGTTCGCTTTGCTCTAGACGTTGATGAACGACCCCAACATTCAAAACATGATGGGCCAGTTGATGTCAGGTGGTGCAGGATTTGGAAATATTTTCCAAGCTGGCCAGCAGGTCTGTAAAATTTCTTGGTACTATAGTTTCCGTAGAATTTACCATCGATAATTATATTATCTCGTTATTTTTGCATTCAATTTTAAGAAGTTGTATAACTTTTCACGACCTCTATCAAATGACTCGATTTAAGCTTGCGCAACAAATGCAGCAATCGAATCCGGAATTCGTTGAACAACTGAGACGACAATTCGAAGGCCATGGACCGAGTAAGACCCCCTTCGAAGCTTTCTTACTTTTATTTTGCAAAAAGTCTTTTTTTAAGATGAAGGTGGTAATGAAGGCGGAGAGAACAACCAGCCAGGCCAACAACAGTGACTGCATTGATTGAGAATAATGATGAGGTTTTTGACGCGTTTGTGAGACCGCCGCTTGTCTCATTTTGTTTTTGTTGCGTTTCCTGTTGGAAATTCAAGCTTTTTGATCATTCACCTATAAGAGCTAGAACATTTAATAAAAAATAATATTTATGCATTTTTTTCATTTTGAAGAGCAGAATACATCAGACAAATAATAGGTAATATCCAAATTGTTATGAGAACAGTGTGTACATGACCCATGTGGTTCACGATTACTAGAAATCAGTTATCACAGTCCATCACACCGGCCAGATGGTCACTAATGTACATATGTATGTATTTTTACATGTAGCTTGTTACAAATGTCCCGTAGCGATAATTGGTCAGCAGATGACTTTCTGAATACACGAATCCCTGAGAAATTGGAGCGCTTTGTCGGTGAATTTTGGTCGACCTAAATATAATGTAGGTTTGATAAGTCGAATAACGTATTGAACCTTTTTTTCTGTTCAAGAGCCCTTTCTTTCATCACCTGAGTAGTCAGCGTAAGAGATCCACTCGAGTTCGGGACAGAACTGAGCAAGCGTGTAAATAGATTTGTCGGTGCAAGCTGTACCACGAATTCGAACCTCTCGCAGTGGACAACGCCTGGAAACCAAAAATTTTGAATGGTGCACTGTAATTCCTCCAATGACAGCGTGAAAAGGAAGCTAATACCAATTTGGTGTCTCAAAATCCTGCACTCACCTTGCTAATGCTGCCATGCCTTTGTCACTGACCCATCTGCATCCGTTCAGATTGATACATCTTAGTTGTCGACAATTCTCACCGAGAATCGCGAGAAATCGGTCGTCGACAGATAACATTTGAGACGTCTCCAGGTCCTTAAATTAGTTGTTGAACTTCTAAGAGTGGGCAAAGTTCGTTTACTGTCAAAAAACAGAGGGTGCTATGAAGATCGAGATCGGACGCGGGCGGTCGCGAAGCGGCAAGTGCAAGTCATCTCACCTGTTGCCGAGCGACGACCCGCACAATTATTCTTGTAGAACCCAGGCCAACATTTTCAAAAAAAAAACAGCAAGGTGTGCTTAGGGCTGTAAATGGTAAGAATTTCCACTCACTATAAGATTTCGCGCTCCACGGGCAATGGCGAACAAGACTCGATAGGTGATTCTCATACGACATATCTTCAATGAACGTAAACGAGATCCTTGAGACTTGGCACCGCCTAAAAGCAGATACTTTAGGAGTCAGTTTCATGAATTTCTAATAGACGATCTCAGGAAGCATTGCACAAGCTATACGTATCGACCGGTCTACTGGCAACGCGACGCGACCGCGCGCGTCTCGGGCCTCCGAACAATTTTCTTTCACCAAAAATTTCACCTGAAAAATAGCGTTGTAGTATATGCGTGCTCAGATGATTCACGTCCAATGCCAGATGCGTTAAATTCGGTGTGCATTCTGTGATAAGACGAAGTGAATCGTCAAACAAACGTGGTGTAGCTACCTAAATCAAAGTTCTTTTGTGATTTAGCAGAAGTAGTGTGACTTTGAGCAATGGCATTTATCGACTGTTCAGCTGCTTCGCGTCCGCTTGCAGCAGTTGCCTGCGAAGCGCCCAGGCAGGTAACAGCCGAACTTGTATCTTTGGCATAAGGTGGACGAACTTACCGTGAGTATAGTAATTTTACTGCCGATATACGGTAGAATTGTACTGAGAAGCGTATTAGCATTATCGATTGCTGACTGCAAAAGTTTTAATATTAAGTGAAAGAAAATTGGGATAGATTTTCTATTCTACCCAAGCAGGACGACTTAGCGAGATTTCTTGCTGCTGACCAAGCCAGCTTCTCCCACTTCAGTAGAAAAAAAAGTAGGTACTCACGATGCTAGCATCACGAACCGCCAACTGAAGATTGATGCTCTTCAGATAAGGCTGAGCCTGTAGGCTACGTACGAGTTCAAATGGGTTCTCATCACCGTTCACAGATAATCGCAAGGAATGAATTGTTGGTGGGAGTTCAGGAAGAATCACGAAGTAATTACCTGGAATAGCTGATGAGAATTACCCAAAAGCGTGAATCTAGACTGGTAAGTTTATGATTAAAAGGAAAATTGAGTCGAAGTATTCTCCGAGGAAGAGGGGTTTTTATGAGATCGAAAAAATCGGCCTTACATCTGCTCAGAATGACAGGATGGGAAATATATGGTGCCATTTTCGATGCGCGGCTGATTTTAGCTAGTTGTCTCACCCCTCAATGGTTAGTTGTCTCGCTTTGAGGTGCTCCAACACCCTTAAACCCAGAGTGGGGCCGTATCGAGACGTCGTAGAAGCCCATTTCTATAGGTTTACTCATTCCGTCTCCTTGGTTTTTACAAAATTCAGTTCTTTTTCAAATGGAGAGGCCTGGTTGGTTCGCTCAGATCAATTGAAGGGCCTATTGAAGCACTCCCTAGCTCCGAGGTGTAAAAAAGTAGTTTGAAAGGAAAACGAAAAAAGACGTCAGTGAAAAAAGTTCCATCTGGCTCACCGTAAAGATCGATATCGCGTAGACTGAATCCATTGATTTTGAACTGAACAGCTGGTGGAAAATCGTCGTAACTCTGAAGAGATCCAGTAATAACTCATCTCAAATGCATCATTAATCAGCACCGCATCTCCCACTTATTTTCGCTCGCCATCTTCAGAACGAACCCGGATCCAAGAGAAAGTACGGTTGTGATATTTTAGGTAATTTTTTCGGCACTGATCACGCCCAGCGAGAAAAAGCAGCTTGACTTGCCATTCAGAATGTCATCGCACTCCGACTCTCTATACCTACGTAAGTTCCTGAGGTCAACTCCCTGATCAATATCCACCCAGGATGCCCTACATTTCAATTTCTCTTGGGTCGATTAATAGAGATAAGGCTTGTATGGGAGGATGAAAGCATCGAGTTGTACTCTGTCACCGGGAGGCCAAGTACGCATACGAACACCTCGGGAATTCTGAATGGGATACATGGACGGATCCTAGAACGAGGTCGATCGGTGCCAGACGCATTCTTTTTTTTCAAGAAAAATCTCTTGGTCCTCTTTTCAGATCAATGACTTTTCGATGGCAATCCCTGAGTCCTCGGGTCTGGAAGGGTAATGCGGAGCGCTTTGCCGAGACAATGCACTTAACATATGCGAGCCTGACGGGATGGTTCACATGATTTGTGAACGGCGAGAGGAGGAAGCTTCGTGATGACATAGTCAGAGTCGAATACAAGTTTGAAGAAAGCAGACGTGCAGAACGTCTAGATGCAATTCCTCAGGCAACTGTTCATATTCTATGATTGTTTGTACCTCTTGAAAGTTCAGGACCCGCTATTGTGAAGTGTAAAATGATTCAGAGGCTGTACCAAAAAGTAGAGCATGTCAGATGGACCGCAAAGAGAAAATATGTACCTCGTTGAAGAATCTTGCCAATGATAATTGACAGATATTAGGGCATTGAGTAGAAAGATGTTGGAGGGCAGCTGCAGGATCGATCAATGCTGGCAGAAAGTCCAATTCGAGTACCTGAACAAGATTACGAATGAAAATCGGTACATGGCGCAATTCAGAGATCAGTTCAATAGGGTGGCCTATATCATGACCACCCCTGTTTCACCCAGATACCCCGATTTTAAGTAATATCTATGGAACAAAGGCAGAAAGGGGCGGATGAGATACTACCGCTTTCTGATTCGGCCTATGCATCTTTCAATTTAACCAACGATTCGAACATCAAGATGAGTATATGGCGTGAACTTACCCGTAATCGTTCTCCAACATAGTAAGCAATATCGTAGAGGGCTTGATCATCGAGTGAACGACAATGGTTCAAATAAAGACAATGAATATTAGGATTTCTTTGCACAAGAAATCGTATACCCAGACTGGTTACCTGAAAGTAGTACCTCTGATTTAATTTTGCTAAGATAGGTTGCTTTGCTCGTGCTCACAGGCTACGGTAGGTAATCTTACCCGGGCACATCCGCTGATATCTACCGTATGCAGGAAAGGGCATTTGACATCTGTGAGTCCGGCATCAGTCAGCTGATACATAGCTCGAAGTTCTAGCTGCAGCAAGTTTTTTTGGCCTGAGGTCACCGTTCGTACACCCTGAAACAGCCTACGGTAATTGCTATAACTTTAACCTCTTTCTACAGAGGTGTTATCGATTTTACGCGCGCAGCGCAGGAGTCGCCTCTGACAATCGGACGTACCTTATCGGTAACTCGAGGACATTCAACCAAAGTGATTCGTTCGAGGTGTTTGTTGTTGGCGGTCAAAGCGGCTAGCATCGAATCAGACAGATCTTCACTCAGATAGAATTTGAGCTCAGTGAGATTGTCGGCAAATGTTGGAGATGACACCAAACGATCGCAGTCCAAAGCGGCTAACTAAAAAGAATCCGACGTAGAAAGGAGCAGCTGTAGTGAAGGTGGAAGGAATTTTAAAATAATTTTTAAGGTAACTATGGGTTAGGGAACACCTGAGTACCACATTAGTCAAAAAAATTCAAAGCAACAAAATTAGCAGAAAACGGTTTTTCCCTCGAAAATGGGTCACCAGGACCGTACAAAAGGTCATGTACGGGTAGGACATAAGGCCCGGAATTAGTTCGCACGTGTCTCTGTGTCCACAACTGACTGAGTTACTGGAACAGACAACATCCTTCAGACAGACTCTCTCTTTAGTCCATATCAGGACAATGCAATTCAGTGAAAAAATGGCTCTTGGGAACATTGCCAAATCACAGTGACCAACGGACAACAGTCACAGCTTGGTCGCGCGTCTTCTTTGCTAGCGAGCGACGGTTGAACTATAAACAGGATGCTGGACTTGTCGCTGAAGGTTCGACTTTGTCAAGCCGATCGAATAACCATTACAAAGAGGTATCATATTGCCGATAGACAGAGTAGCATTGCTCTGTTGCAATCTATAAGCAAAGCTGGGGGTAGGGATAACCAAACGGTAAGGTTTGTAGCTACATTTCAGAAGGCCAGAGTTGATCCCTATCAGAAAAGCGGTTATGTATTGCGAAAAATTGCACAATGGTCTGGGGACCGGGGCAAGGACCAACCAGATCATTAAATTAGCCGAGGAAAGCCCATTACACTGAAAATTACCAAAACCGTAAAAGTAAAAATAGGATCTATCCTTGAAAAAAATCGTATTCTTCTAATACAACCACAACCTCAAAACCCACCTGATCATGGTTGGTGAAGAATTCAAGAAGCTTCTGTTTACATTCAATTGGAATCAAAGCCAGATGATCATTGAGTTGATGTTGGCAAACAGCCGACAAGCAGATGTTGAACAGTGATTTCACCATTGTCTTCGTACAGATTTTTTTAAAGAATTAAATACTCGTCAATTGAAGCAGACAGTGAATAAAGGCAGAAATAGGCTGTAGATATGCTAGTTGGCCGGCACGTCAAAGCATCATTCGGCACGCGAATACCTTAAAGAGAAAAAAAATCAATTATAAGCAAATTTTTCATTTTCGCTGTAGTGCCCCAAATCGACAAACGACTTAGTCGAACGTGAACAAGGAAAGATCATTCCCTGTTAGATAGCGAGCAATGTTACATTATGTAAAAATTACGCGCGCGGATGCGCAGCTGTCAGGTCTGAGTATAAACCCTAGCAATGGGCGTAAAAACGAGCAAACAAGCTAGAAGAGATAGGACTTTCAAATTGGATTATGACTGTCAATGAACCGTGCGATAGTGATAATGGTAACAGTGATAAGCAGTTGTAATGATACTTGGTGATAATGGTAGTGCAGGGATACCGAGAAAACGAGTGTAAGTACTAAATCTCCTTCATTCATCACCAGAGGTCACTCTCGTTATGTTGATCGAATTTTTGCTTCTCAAGAAACTTCTGGATAACTACTTCTCAACGATGCTCGATCTAGTAAGGAGCAGATTGGACCACACAGGGCTCAGTAGGCGAATAAGACAATAATAGAGCAAATCGAGCTAGGGCCGAGGTAGAGGAGCAGATGTTACTGTTGACAAACATCAACTAACTGGTTACAGAAACCGGGGAAATGGGATCAGCCCACAAAATCAACATTATCATTTTGAGAGGCACCAGTGAATAACTTCGTAAAGAAGAACCTCTAAGTGGACACTTGGGAAAAATCTCGGATTACAGGTAAAAGAGGACGAGTTAACCAAGAAAGTTGCGCCGCATGTTCGGCAACATTTGATACCCGACTGGGAAAGTTACATGAAAAACAAAGCAGATGAATTCTCAACTCATTGAGATACATTTCAAGCAATACTCGCGATTATGGTAATGCGTAGGTAACTGAGTAATCGACCCACAAATAATTTCCCTGATACGTGCATTCGTTCCAGGGACGGATTGAGGCTTATTCATTATTCCCGAAAAATAACATTTGATAGAAAGCAGTCAAGGGTGAGTATTAGAGGAGAACATGGATGAGAATGAGGAAAGCACGAGTGTATTGAGGGGCCTGCCCCGTGCGTCTGATGGCACGTGAGAAACAGCGGTGTCTCACTGTCAGTACAACAAAAACGTCCGAGTGCAAAGGACTTGACAAGCAATCGAACCAAAAAACCAAGTCTGCTTCAAGTCGATAACTGCAGCAGGTAAATAGGGTCCATTTAAACCGAAAGAAATGATTTTTTTCATTAATACAGCTTCAAATCTAGGGCAGCATTAAAAGGCACACTTCACTGTCTGAATAGTTTCTGAAACTTTTCAATAGGATAAACCTGTGGTCTCCAAGAATAGCGAATGAGCCATTGTCGGGTCGAAAAATGGCTTAGATAGGACGCAACGAGCGCTCCCCATTGCATGCCACACCCAAAGCGGCCGAGTTTCAACGGCTCAGTAGTGGCTACACATTCACAGTGGAGCACATATGTTGAAAATTGAAACAGCCCGGATCTTCACTCATGGCTATAAGTACCCCAGAATGGCAATGATCTGTATTTTTAAGTTAACGGTCCGAACAT